GGAAGCCACCTGAACCCCAAAGGTAGGAGTTCAGGAGAAGGAAGTCAGGACAACACATAACGAGGAGTAAAAGAGAGTATTATGGACTGAATGTTTGTGCACCAACTCCAACCCCCAGTTTCCCATGATGAATCACTAGCTCCCAATATAACACTATTTATATCTGCAAGCGGGTTTTGGGACGTAATGAAGATCAGATGAGAATGGGGTCCCTTATGATGACCTTATTTCCCTTATAGCAGACGCCAGGAAGCTTGCTTCTCCTGCTTCCCTTCCCACCCCGTGAGCACACAGCAAGGTGGTGGCCATCTACAAGCCAGGGACAGCACTCACCAGAACCCATCCATGCTCTGGCATCCTGACCTCAGATTTCTGGCCTCCAGAGCTGCGAAAACTAAAGTTGGGTCGTTATAAGCCACCTGGCGGATGGTACTTTGTCACAGCAGCCCAAGGTCAGACGTGATTCAAGATGGCGCCCCTTGGTGTCTAGCCATGTGGGAAAGCCGCGGATCTGACAAAGCGAGTGACAAGATGAAGTAGACGGTGCGTGCGGGCCTCACCTGGCTGCTCTTTGTGGAGAAAGGGGAGGGCTGCAAGGGAGCAGTAGAGGTAGATGGAGAGCAAGTTCCTGGCTCTGTTGCATCTAGCTCTGGGCATGACCTTCCTCAAGCAGCGGGTTATGGATGCCCTGTCTTCTGAGATGGACATGTGGCTCTCTGAACACTATTGCTCAGATTAGGTCACCCATGGAAACCATTGTCCAGCTTGGAGCTAGATGGTATGCCCCTCCAAGGATCTGGGGAAACCAGTGCACGGACCTAGGGCGCCATGGTCTAAAGCAGCCTAGAAGTCAGCTCTGCAATCCTCTCTGGCAGGTGTACTCATTTTCTAATTGTCTTGGGGCTGCCACCACGTGGTGGCTTAAAACAATGAGAATTCACCCCCTCCTAGTTCTGGAGACCAGAAGTGTGAGATCCAGGCAGGGACAGGAACGCTGAGATCCAGATGGGGCAGGACCACTGAGATCCAGGTGGGGCACGGCTATTGACAGGTGGGACAGGGTCATGCTCCTTCCTGAGGTTTCAGGAGAGGGTCCTTTCTCCCTCTTCCAGCTTCTGGAGCTCCAGGCGTCCCTGGGCTTGTGGTCTTGTCCCTCCCATCCCTGCCTTCCTTCTCACATGGCTTCTCCTCTGCATCTGTGTCTCCTCATGTGTTTCTTATAAGGACCCCTGTCATTGCATTTAAGACCACCCTAGTACAACAGACTTCATCACAGTCCTTAACTAACTGTATCTGCAAAAAGCCTACTTCTAAATAAGGTTCCCCTTGCAGTTCTGAGTGGGAGGACATGGTTTCAGGATTGGGGGGGACTCGATTTACCCCAGGAGAGCAGAGGTTGCGTGCATGTTTGTTCATCATGGGCTCAATTCTGCTGCCCATTTCTTATTCCCGGTTTGTCCTCATCTGCCCTTTTGGGTGTATTTTTCTCTCACCACTTGAGTAAGGAAATTTGGGCTCTGCATCTCCCCATGTTCTCTTCCCACTGGACCCTCACCCCCTTGGAGAAGACAAGGGGGGAAAAAAAGAGGTCATACAATCAAGCATAGAGAACCAGAAAGTCCATGGAGACAGAACTCAGACTCCTGGTCACCAGGGGACAGGGGAAGGGGACTGAGGAGGGCAGCTCACGGGGACAGGGTCTCCTCTGGGGACATGCCAAGAACGTCTTGGAAGTAGACCGACATGCTGGTCATGCAACTTTCTCAACGTACGAAACGCAGCTGGACGGCTCCCTGGGAAAAGGGTTCACTTTATGTTACGTGAATGTTATGCCCGTTTTTAAAAAACGAAGGGGAACAACGTGTAGGACTTCTGTCCTTGGGAATACTCTTTTCTAACAGTTCGTCTAATTTTGGAAAACCCTCATGAAGGAAGGTCTCCTTTGTCTTCAGGAAACACAACCTGCCCAGGGCTGGAACAGGGGAGGAGGAGGACCCAGCAGGCTGTGCCGAACGCATCCTTCTGTCCTCGATTCAGGGGTGTCGGCTGACAAATTAAGGCACGAGATAAAACTTGTGAAAACGGCAGCCAGACACGCGCATACACACACACACACGCACGCACACACACACACACACAGCAGAGCCTGCACAAGCAAGGAGCACAGAACATGATCTGCCCCCTCTGAGCACAACAGTACCAACGCTGACCTCCTCCTCCTGACACCGGGTCACCAACGACGTCCCCGCGGAGGGAAGCTTCATGAAGGCTGCACGGGGACGGACGCCGGGCTCGGACTCCGGAAAGCCCCGGGAGTCTGTAATTATTTCTAAACCTATGATTCTGTTTTTACAGCTCGTTGTCTGTCACCACGGGAATCAACCAAGCGTCCTCGTGGGGACCTGAAGTGTGGAGAAACGGGCTTGCATGCCACGTCCGGTCCGGGCAGCCGCCTGGCTGCTCCCACCCCGGTTTCTCGAGCTAGGAAATCACAGGGGGGCCCAGACACGCCCCAAGGTCGCCTCCCCGCTCGCCAGATGTTGCAGCAGCACAAGCTGAGATTTCTTCCCGGCTCTCTGGATTTCTGGGCAATCAGCTGGTCTGAAATGCCCACAGTCCCAGCGTCCTGCTCTCCTCCTACCTGCAGGGCCCAACCCTTTGCAGCTGGGTCCGGAGCTGAGGACACGGGGACTGTCCAAGAGCCACGGCGGGCATGCCCAACGAAATCGGACAGAACCCAGGGTGTCCTACCTGCACGGAGAGACCCACAGACCCACACACCGTGTGTCTGCGAGTGTGACTCAGCGTTTCTGCCCCTCGGGGAGCCTCCCGTCCGTGCGCACCTCGCAGACAGGCATGAGGAATGGAAACCCCAGGGCACACACATGGGTCAGGAAAAGAACAAAACACACGGATGAAATGTGTGCGGCGAGGACGGAGCCCAGCGGCGTCCTTCCATCCTGACTCCTTCCGGATAGAAGGTTCCAAGATGTGGCTGAAGGAAAGCAAAGAGAGGTCTGGGGTGTCGGTGTGTTGTGGGTTTGCGGTGCGTGGGGGCTGGGTTCCCGTCCAGGAGAGGCACGTTCCTCAACTGGAAAAGTGCATACAAATGGCCCAGGACCATGCAGGACCCGTGGGTGCCTGATGGGCACAGGGTGACAGCGAGGAGGAGAGGTTGTAGCAGCTTGGGCAGAGCTCAGCCTGGCCCCTCTGTGGGACCCACTGCACGTCAGGAAGGGACCTCCAGCTGGTGGACACTGTGGCTTGGACACAGGACGGGGACGGCTCGGGGAGGCTGGGGATTCCTTCAGGTTTGGCCTCTGTCTCTCGCATACACACCTGGGTCTGTGTATGTGCGTGTCACACACACATGCACACCTGCTCCCGTCACACCCAGAGGGGCACAGAAGTTATCCTCAGAGAACAAGCATCCTCTTCACGAAGAGGCAAGGGCCCGTGGAAGAAATCACCCTCCCGTGCACGCCCCTCTCAGTCCCCAGAGGCGGCCACATTCTATTTTTAAGGACAAGATGACTGGCTGGCTGCCCCGTGCCCACTGGGCAGGGCTCCCAGGGCCCCACGGGACTGCTGGCACCAGAACAGGTCGCGGCGACAGCCCACGAGCCTGCCCACACGCTGCGGGCTACCCTGTCCTCCAGCCCTGGCATCTCTGACAAGCCCCATGCGTGTGCCCAGACGAGATACGATTGTCAGCGCTCGGTGCCAAGGCCTCGAGAGTCAGTCCTCTACCAACTTTCCATTGTTGTCTCTATTTCCACCGACGGCCGGTGTCACCGCCTGGGCTGGGTTTCTGTCCCACCCTGCAGCCCTGCAAAACACAGCCTGCTTTCCCATCAGTGCCAGCTTCCCGGGGGGAGGGAAGGAGAGGGCGGCACACGGAGGGAGGGACAAACAGATGGACAGAAGGTAGTAAACAGGGAGAGACAGAGACGCACACAGCGGCAGAAAAGGTGCCCACCATCCCCTCCTTCCCGAATCAGCTTCCCTGGAGACCCGTCCCCAGTGTGGCCGTGCCTGTCCGTCTCTAATTAAACTCTGAGGCCGTGACCTTGAGCCCTGGCTTCCTGATGCCCTGGCCGTCTTCCTCCTTTTCACAAGAGGGGCAGGGGACCCAGGAAAAGCCCCTGAACACCCCCAGCCCCTTGGTGACCTGTGGCTTTGCGCCTTCCACATGGATGTCTCCTACAAGAAACCCATCTCCCAAACCCCGTGAGCAACAAAGAGTTACTAAGAAGCCACAGCGGCCTGTGCCCACCATTCGCACCCAGCCCCAGCCCCGAGTGGGGATTTTCTAGCCCAGTCAGGGCGGCCCCAGGATCTACCAGCGCCTTTCCCGGCACAGGACAAAAGGAAATCAGCGTCTGACCCGGAATGCCAACTTTCGGGATCAACAAGATAAAAGCAGGCGCGGGGAGGGGGAAACGGGTAATCCGTCCTGAACGCCCACCCCACGCCCGCCCCCGTTCCGCCCCAGGACACCTGTCCCCGCCAAGTCCCCAGTAAGGTCCAAAGTCTGCGCCGGAGCATCCTGCCGCTGGGCACAGGGAGGCTGGCCGGAGTTGGTAGCTGCCTCTGGGCGCCGCCTCTGTCCCTAGGGGCCCCTGGCTAGGAGGGCGGGCGAGGTCCCCCATAGGAGATGACCCCTGGCAAGTTTTGTGACGTCGGGTGGCACAAATACCAGGGGGGTTTGGGGGAGGAGGAAAGGACTTTTAAGTCCGGACACTCCTGGCGCGCGGGGCAGGGCGCGGACACTTGGGGAGGCTCGCGGGAGCTCGTGGGGGGCCACCCTCCAACTCTGGGAGCTCCCGAGGGTCCAGGGGCGCCCCGCCAGCTCGCGGGGAGACCCTGAGCGGAGGAGACCGGGCAGGACCGGCTGAAGGAGGCGGCCCGGCGACGGCACACCGGCCCTTTGTCTGACGCCAGCGTCCCGGGCGGCGCCGAGCGACCCTGCGGGCCGGGTCCCCGCGCGCGCTACTCACCCACAGTGGCCAGCGTGTCGAAGTCCTGTAGGCGGTAGGCTGGCGGCTCGGGCGAGGGCACCTCGGGGCTGGGGCAGAGCGCGGGCGCCCCGTCGGGGGTCTCCCCGCGGCTCTCCTGAGGCTCGGGGTCGGTCGCGGCCGCCTTGGCCGTCTTGGCCAGCCCGGGCGCCTCCATGGGGGCGCGCTCCAGTCCGCGGCGCGGGGCCGGGCCGAGGAGCGCGGAGGTCCGGGCTTCCCGGGACGCAGCCTCGGAGGGCGGCGCGGCGGCGGCGGCATCAGCGGCGCCCACCCATGCGCGTCCCCCGCCTCCCGGTCCGCGGCCCGGCGCGACAGGCGGAGCGGCGGGGACAATGGCGGGGCGCGGGGCGGCGCTCACTGCAGCAGCAGCAGCAGCAGCTGGTGGGAGTAGCCCGCGGCCTCGGGGGGCGGGCCCGGGGGCCCGGGCGGCGGCGGCGGGGGCGGGGGCGGGGGCGCGGCTGGGGGCGCGGCGGCCCGGGCTGGCGGGAGCGAGGCGGGGTCCCGGCCGCGGGCGCTCGACTCCCTGTTCATTCCTGGGGGCCCGCGCCAGCCGCCACCCGCGCGGGCGCTGCGTGCGCGCTGGTCGGGGACCGGGCGGAAGCGGCCTGGGCGGGGCCGCGCGCTCTCCAACCCGCCCCGGAGCCCGCCCGGACTCGGCCCGCCCACGGGAGGGCCGCTCGGGTCCCCGCGCTCCGCCCCCGCCGCGCCCCAGTCCGGGATCCGAGAGGTGGCCGCGCCCGCTGCGCCGCGGGCGGCGTCCCCGGGGGCTGAGGTCCCCAGCCGAGCTCCCCCGGGGAACGCGGGGACGGGCCACCGCGCTCGCCGCGCCCCAGCCCGGAAGGGTGGGAGGTGGGGCGCGCTGGGGGGACCGCGAGGGCGTGGCTCCAACAAAAGTAAAGTTAAAAAAATCAAACTGAACCCGAGCGAAAGGCGCTTGGGGCGCTCCGGCGGGCGGCCGCTCGGTGCCCGCGCGTCCCCAAGGGCGGCTGCTGGGTCTAGCGAATAAAAACCCGGCCCGTGTCACTTTCCCGGTTTCTCGGGGGGACCATGGTGATGCAAAATGCGAGCTGGCGGGCAGGGGCCTGGCGCGTAAGGGCGCCGGGCTCCCCACTGCCCCCGCTCCAGTTTCTGGGCACATTCCTAAGAAACCATGATTATATCCAAAGTACCCTTTTTTTAAACAAAAACAAGGAGACCCAGGTTTAAGAGCTAGGACGAGCCCTACCCCCTTTGTCCCCCTCGCCCCCCCCCCAAAAAAAAACCACGCAACGCACGCAGCTTGGTGGGTCGCTGTTTTAAACACACCTGGCACCACTTTGGAAAAGAAACGCAGGGCGCCCAGGATCCGTTTGTATTTGAGATGGACACAGAGTACCCCCCAGCCCCCCGCAGTGTAAGTATGTCCCAGGCCTCATTTGGATGTCTTGAGCGCAGTAAACGACGCGTGCGTCTCTGAAACTGGAATGTAACTGGTCGTCCTGTCCTTTATCTGGCCACCCTGTCCCCGGGCATCCGGTTAAAACGCGGCCCAGAAAGGGCTGTTCCCAGCTGCGGCCCCCCAGAAGCGCACTTTGAGCTGCCAAAGGAGACCATACCGCCCCCCACCTGGTTTGGAGGCATCTCAGCCATTCCGCCCTTGGAGGGGGTTGTTGTGGGGTCGGGGACAGGGCATTCTTAGGGACACCAGGCCCCGTCTGCCAGGCTCGGCCAACTGGGAGGGGGCCACAGGAAATCAGATGCGGTCTCTGGGTGTGCCTTGCCGGCCCCTGGCTGTCAGCTTGGGCCCAGCCCTCATCTCCACATTGTGGGTGGCATTTTCCCAGGGCATGAGGCCTGCTGTCTTTGCTTGTTGCCAAATCTTGAGCTGGAATGCAAAAAATGCATGCCCTGAGCAGGCCCCGCGCACCGAGTTGGAACCAGGAGGCCCTCTGGCCACCAGGCCCTGCTGAAGACTCAGGAGACCCAGGACGGGCCTCCGGGGCATGTCCCCGTGTCCCTTGTTACTGTGATGCTCCTGGGTGACTAGGGTTGGTGGTCAAGGCTAGGTCAGTTAGGGACATGCTTTTCCCTTCCAGCTGCACCCAGGCAGAAAAGGATTCCAGACGAAGTTTTGGAATTGAACTCTGGGTTGCAGAGTTGGTGTGACTCCTTCCTCTCCTGCCCGTGAGACTGGCCACAGACCCACGTCTTCCTATAAATATCCTGGGCAGGTTTTGCAACACCTTGCTGTACGAAGCGGCTTTCATGTGGAGGGATCATAAAAATTCCTCAGAAACCACAGCCCAGGACTCGGGAGACGATACAGAGCAACCCCGGTAGGTTAGGTGCTATGGGGTCATTACTGCCTTTGGGCAGCCGCCTTCCCTCGGGGTGCACACAAGATGTGCTGAGCTCGGAAATGCGGAAAGAAGAGTTCCTGTGTCCACCTGGAGGGGACCGGAAGGTCAGCAGCCTCACCTGTGCAGGTGCCCATGAGCATGAGAGAAAGAAAGCTGTGATCGGTTAAGGCAGCTGGAATATGTATGTATTCCTCATTTGGGATAAATATTTATGTGTTTGTATATATGCGTGTGTGTGTGTTGTATGCACAAATACATATGTACATACAACATAGAAATACATACGTATGTAAATACACACACGTGCATATATAAAAATATATATTATACATAGATACATGTATGTAGGTGCATATATAAAAATATATATTATATATAGTTACATATATAAAGAGTATACATATTAAAGAGTATACTGTTCCCTTCACAGGCTTTACAGTGTATACAAATTATATCATATATCATATACATTATGTTCTATTGTATCCTAGAATATCTACTCTAATATATTTTATTCTCTATATTCTAAAAGACATGTGCACCTGCCTTCACAGACTTTGCAACATAGAGATACATAAAATGATACATATTATATATTGTGGCATTCTATAATATAGTCTAATATATTCTATTATATATTTTATTTTGTTTTATTATAAATTCTCACTTGCATATCCTAAAAGACATGTTCAGCTGCCTTCAGACTTTACAACTTATGTATATATTAGACATAGATGATATAGTATATTCTAACATTCTATAATGTATATTCTAATACTTTTCATTATAAATTGTAAAGCATGTATCCTAAAAAACATATTCAGCTGTGTTTACAGACATCACAATTTTTAAGTTTATATTTATAAACTATAATATGTGCTTATTATATATATTATATTAATATTATATAATTATAAATATATTAAAAACTTGTATTATGAAAAAGTATACACATATATATTTTTTTTAAAGATTTTATTTATTTATGAGAGAGAGCGCAAGCAGGGGGAGGAGAGAAGGGAGAGGGGGAAGCAGGCTCCCTGCTGAGCAGGGTGGCAGACGCGGGACTCGATCCCAAGACCCTGGGATCATGACCTGAGCCGAAGGCAGATTGCTTAACTGACCCATGCGTCCCTGTATATTTTGAGTTCGGTATAACCCTGTGTATTGCCACTCAGTCAGATAAACGCATACTTTGGAAACATACGTGATAGTTTCAGTATTTGTTAAAAGAGGCCTTCCCAGGGCTTCTGGAAAGCGATCCTATGAAACAGTACAACCGTGCATTGAATCCGGACTCAGCCGGGGATGGGAGTTGTTGTTTTTTGTTGTTGTTGTTTTTTGTTTGTTTGTTTGTTTGTCATGGATGCCAGAAGATCTGTCTGCTTAGGATTTGGTCTTCGGAGGCAGGCAGAACATGTCAGCAGGATTAGGGTTTTAGACTCCGCTCGTTAGCTCTACCCCTAAGGCAGACAAGGGCCTCCACCGGGTGCCCCCTGTGCGGTAGGAATAGAACAGAGTGGCTTTCCGTGGTCCGTATATTTGCTCCCCGTTTCTCAGACCTGCTGTTGCAAGCGCAATTAATGGGTGTTGGATGTTCTGGTCGATCGCCGATGAACGTTTTCTCAGCGAGGAGTGATCCCAAGTTGGGGCAGCACTCACTGTTCTAGCTGTGCAGGCTTTTGGTTCTCATTTCGTCCTGCAGGTCAGCCCTGCGGGGGGTCTGCGCGGGTTGAATGTGTTGGGAACTCATGGTAACCTAGTTTGTGGGTTACGTTCTGTGACAATGCTGGGCCCTTGGGCCTCCGCAGATGCAGCCGGGCCCGTCATGAGTCATCAGAGGTGATGAAACTTCTTTTATAATTATATGCGTAGCCACAGGAATCCAAGCCTTGCTCCAGTGTGAGCCCTGCCTAGCCACCCCAGTGCAGATCGGCCTGTGTGGGCACCCAGGTGCCCTATTTTCATGCAAATGGAACCCATTTTCCAAACTGCTTCAACCTCATTTATTTTACAGATGCCCTCATCCACCCCGTCCCAAAAAAAGACCCCAATAAAGAACCCAACCCATGCGTTCAAACCAGGTGAAGCTGACCTCAAAATGCCCTGTCCAGGGAGGCAAAGGCCGTCTTCATCAGGAAGACACCACACAGGGTTCCCTGGGTGGCCAGGTCATGAATTCCAGATGGGCTCAGAGCAATTAAGTCATCACAGGGTGGAAACAGGAGTCCTCAAATAATTGCAGGCTTCAGTAACATTAGTGAGTCATGAATCGATAAAATCAAGCAGAACCCTGAGGCGCTCCGTCTCTCCAGATGAAAGTTTGAAAATCGGGACACATCCCGAAGGCGGAAGGACGTGCTTTTTCATGCAGGGAGTCCTGACTTCCAAGGAACCAAGAGTCTGACAAAGTAACAAGAGAAAAATCGTCTCCAACTGAGCTGTGTGTTTCTCCAGCCATTGTAAAGGATACACTAATATCAAACTGTTACCTTGTTTGGGATTAAATGCTACTTAGATGCTCTCCTTGTTTGGTCTCTAAAAATACCTGGAAGGCGTCAGGAGAAGAGAAAACTAAAATAAATTCCAGGAATATTAGGTGTCGAGGGGAGGTAGAATCCAAACAACGAAAGCGGAAGAAAATCCCGGTGCCAGCTTTCCAATCCCCACATGATCGTGGAAGGATGTTCTAAACTCATCAGAAATAGAAGCACCGAGGTAAATAGATGAGTAGAACTGGACACTCAAAAATGTGAGAAAGTTATGGAAACATAAAGTTAAAATGCATTGATGGGAAGCATTCATGGTCCATAAAACCAAACGGCTATCTCGTCAAAGGGCATGAATGACCTTCCCAGAAAACTCCTATTGAGGGTGATTGACATAGGGAGAAAAAAAAAATGTTGCTAATAAGTAACAATCAAAGAAATGTATCAAAGAACAAAAGTGGTCGCTGTTTGTTTGTTTGTTTGTTTAAATCCAGCTGACTTTAGAAAGATGAGCTAGTCTGCAGGGAGGAGAGAATTCTTACA